CAGTTGTTTGGCCATGTTGTCATAATGTATATTCCCATTCTGGGTAAATCTTTCCATATTATGAACATTTCGTAAATTTACCTGTTTAACGATTTCCTGTGTGAGTTCTCCAAGCAATGCACGCATGGTTTGAGGACTCAACTCTGTCATTGGTTCGTAATGACTGTGACTGCTCTGACTTTGTCCCTCTGTTCATGGAGAGCTTCGCTGTTCCTCATATCACTCGATCACAGACTGGATCCTCCCTGACTTGCTGCTTCTTTATCAGATTTGTGAGGCATATTATTTCACTTTTTGTATCCTCAACACCAAACACCAAGGTCCCACCGGGCGTGTCAAATTGTTTCGCGCGGGTAGTCGCTAACAATTAAAAAAGGGGTCAGACAATTGTGTAAGGAACAGACATTTTGAGACAAAGTCCTAAAAAGGGGTGTTTTTTTTGGCGATGATTTACAATTGAAAATAAACAGAATGCCTCTAAGGGGCGCAAGTACACGAGTACTAAAAGAAGTGTTTAAGTTTAAGCTAAGAAATTGAAATTACATATTCTCTGTTTGAGAGTGTTTGGTTTATTTTTTTTCTATGTCTTCTCTTCCTTTTTATATTCCCTTGATGACTTCCTCGTAACAAATCGCTTAGAAACTACTTGATTGCTTTATAACTACCCACTTTCTTTATGGTGGCTAACTCGTCGTCGAACTGCCGTCTCTAACTGTTGCCATTACTCTTTGTCGTTCAACCGCCTTCAACTGGGCTCCTTGAATCGTGGAATGTGATAAGATTACTCAATAACTGCTTCAATAACTGCTATTCTGGACAACTATAATATTTTGTGTTTGTTAAAATTCTGGGCGATTCGAAGGTTTGGGCGAGAACGGGGTCATCGCTCTAGGCGACCGTAAGGCACTCTATTCGCTCAGATTCTGGGCGTCTTGCAAGCTTGAGCGATGATATTACTGTGTTCGTGGGCTTCCACTGCATTCATCAATAATCCTGTTTGGACCTTTATCCTGGACTCCCCAATTGAACTTCACTCTTTGGGCTATTTGATTTGGGCTGCACTTTTAGTGTGTCAACACTCTCCAACCCTCATCGGTCGCCTAATAAACCTAGACTCAACAATCTTCCATTTATGACAAGAACTTGTTCCTCTCTTTCGCCGTTTACCACTAGTTTTTCCCCGGTGGACACTTCTCTAGGTTTCCTTCATTGCCACCCTCATTAGCTTCTATTCAGCATCAGTGGAACGAATTTTGGTGACCCAATTGAAGTTTGATGTTGATAGTATGCTTGTTGACTATTTTGTTGTGATTGTAGGGGTATGGGCGGCAATTACCTCAGCTTCGCAAGTACTTCTGGGCCGGTATTTCATGCTTGATGTTATGGTTGGAGCGTGTTTGGGTTGGGGAAGAAGAAAGTGTCAATCATCGGCCTCTCTGTTTTCATGAGGGCCGAGGTAGGGTGGCATGGGTGGTTTGGTGTAGATTTCTTTCATTTTTAAAATTTTTTTTTCGTTTTTTTTTAATTTAATTGTTTATGTAAGAAAAATGTAAAGTTACCGTTTTATCCTTTTAAAATTAGTCAAAATTGCAGTCAAAGTCAATTCTTTGATCAACTAACAGTTAAATGAATGGACTATCCATTTGGACTCAAGTTGTATATTTATGAAAAGTTGTGGCCTTTCGTTGGCACTAGGGCTGGGCAAATCTCCCGAACCGAACCGACCGAACCCGACAGTTCTTGTTAAATTAAATACCTGAACGGGTATCTGAATTGAGAACCGACGGGTACAGTTCGGTTCTCTGTTCTAGACCAAGAACCGAAGAATCGAATAAAAATCGAATCTTTCTAATTTTTTTTATATTTAGTAAATCAAATTATTTTAATTTTAATTTTTTCTAAACAAATTAACAGATTAACGATTTCTAAATCCAAATTTTTGGCCCAATAATTTGTTTCATTTCTAATTTTTTAATTTTTGGCCCAATTACCTATTTTATTATTTTATTTCTTAGCCAAACAAGATCAAATCCACTAAATAACTCTAAACACCTACAATATTTCAAAACCTATACAATCGTCGGTCGACACTGTGACCTCCGTCGATCGAAATTTTGATTGTAACGATCATTTGAACAAGTTAGTTTACTAGTCTCTGACATTCAAAAACCATTGAATGTATCAATAGTTGTATTTATATAATATTGTTATAAATGTTAAAAAATTTAATTATAGTACAGAACGGAACGGAACCGAACTGAACCGAACGGAACCGAACCCGAACAGTTCCATAATTATGTTTGGACCCGACGGTTCCATTTACTAAATACTCGAAAATTTTGGTTCGGTTCGGTTATCGACCCGCGCCCACCCCTAGTTAGCACAAAATGAAGGTTATGGTAAAGTTTGCAAAAATTGAAAAGGTTTGAGATTGCTACCGCAATTTTCACTAAAAAAACTAGAAGTAGGCTTAAGCATGGTTAGGTTCGACTGATTTCGAGGAATCAAAACCAAAAATCTGAACCAAATCGAAAATCAATAGTTTCTTGATAATAGAATCCATTTGGTTAGATTTGATAAATGTCAATGAAGTCTGTAGTTGAAAAATCGATAAAAATTGTAAATTCAAATAAATATCTGATAAAAATTAACTGATAAATATAACATTAATCTTCTATTAATATTTTCTTCCCCTCAGATAAGCACTAATGTTCGAGACCTCACGACTTCAACGTAATGGCTAGCTAGTTGACTTCAGAGCCAACCCCCACGTGACCAATGATTCCTTACAGAATGATGCTGTCATTACTCAATTTACGTTACATTCTATAATCATTGAAGATAACTTGATCTATTTTATTTTATTTTTTTAAATTTTTTCAATAATTTCTCGTAATGGACATAATGAAACCATATAAAGCCATTGTTATAAGGATTCTTAATTATATAATTTATGTTATACTTCGTATATAAAGATTTCACAAATTGTTAGCGCATCGACTATTATAATATAATTACTCAAATTGAAAATAAATCTCCTCTGTTTCACTTTATTTTTTCAGGAAAATGATAAAGTGCCTATATATAAGGCTAAAAAAATTTGTATTATTAGATAATTCTGAAAGTCTACAAATAAAATTCTAAAACAAAGACGGAGATTGATATATCATTAAATCATTAAATACCATACTCGATTGATAGTTTAATGAATTCGACATTGACTTCTTTGATATCTAATCTATCTATCAATTAGAAGAACAATCGTCATAGTGTCAATAGCAACATTGAAGTTGCGTAAACTTGAAATTTTGTCAGATAGATTGTGTGCACGATTTATTTTCAATTCACTTCATGATTAATTACAAGAACATTATAATAATGTCAATCGTGAAGAAAGAAAAGTTTTGATTTATAAATTCATATTTGTCGAGTAACAATTGCGCTTACAACAACTTTTGAGACAACAAGCTTAACCACTTGTAATTTTACGACATATAGTTTAATTGCATATGATGCATAAAAGTTCCGATCACTTTGGCGCTGCATTGTCAGAATTATTTTGCATATTCAATAGACTATGATCCGTTACTGTATTAATTGAACTACTCTGTTCAGTAATATTACAGATGGGACTCCAACTTATTAAAAATATAGCAATTAGGTCTCCAACCTAATAATTTGACTACCTCACTCTCAACCTTTAATTTTATGACATCTGGGTCCCAAATTGACAATTTTACCCTCAGGAAACGTATATTTTATTTCTATGACGATCATTCATTTCGTTAATGTAAATTTTTGTGATACCCATATACATTTAGCACTCATCTTAATTCTAGTACTAAAGTAATCATTGTACCGCAAAAGACATTGTTCGTGACCTCGTTCTATGTAGCAAAGTTGTTTTAAATTGAAAGCCATCCTTTCTTGATTCGATCAAAATTAGTCATGAGACACCCTACTATTAAGAACATCTTAATTCCGCGCTGAAGTTATTGTTGTATCTTAAAAATGATAAATATTAAAAATTTGTTCGTTCTTAATGAACATATTTTTCTAAAGTAAATATTGACTCGATCGAGTAAGTCTTTGCCAGTTTGTGAACGTGATATCCTTATTCAACTTTGTTCTGCCCATTAACTTTTATTTAAATAAAATAATTATTACTATCCTTATTTTTAATTGTGTTTCCACTTGAGTGCCCCATAAATGACCATATCACTACAGAAGCTTGTACTTATATATTTTCTGAATGTTCACATTATGAAGAGACAACTCATGTAGAAAATATGTAAAAATCAGTAACTAGGATTTTGTCTAGTATTTAACAAGAATAAAACCACTTAACCCTACTTAAAAAATAGGGAATGAAGAGATAGATTGATGTGTCAGAAAATAATTAGATATTTTTCTTTTAATTTTTAAAATTATCCAATCATACATTGACACGTGTCTCATTTAAATTTGCGTTTGAATATGTAGCATAATTGATTTAACGAATAATAAAATCTGAAAGTCTACTAAAACAGAATATTGAAATTAATAAAATCAGGATTTGACAGGTAGAGTAACATGGAATTTTTTTATTTTATTTTAAATCTGAACAATTGAGCTGAAAACGTGTCTATGAACCATTAAATCCCTGTTGGCCATGTTTTAATCTCTCCTTATTAAAAAAAAAACGTGTCAAGTACAGTAATTGTTAATTTATACATTCAGTGCTACACACGTCGTAAAAATATACGAATGCTAGGGTTTACCCAACCCAATGGATAATTCTAAGTGTACGTAATTTGATTTATCAAATAATTTACCTATTCTTACAAGCACATGGATCCTGCGTAAATAAAATAATCCCAACATGTGGTTCCCACACTCTTATTCTGAAAGTATGTAAATTATTGGATAAAAAAAATTAGGCGCATCTAGCATGATCCTTACCCAACATGATATAAAGCTGAACAGATTAGTACAGCTTGCATTCGTACCTATATAGAACATGAATTTTATTATATAATTTTCATCAGTGATTGACCCGAATGCTTATTTATTTGCAAGAGGGGTTCGTGAATTTGTAACCATTGGCTGATAGAATAGATATATATCTAGCCTAAATTGGCCATTCTCAGCTCAAGAGAAAACAGAAGGTGAGTTTTCCTTTTTTTGGTAGTGCTGAGGGTAAGATGGAAGTAGTGCATCCGGCGGCCGAGGCTCTTTTGGAAAGAGGGACAACTTCCCGTGACGACAACAGTACGATAAACGATACGATCATTACTGATCACGAAAGTAGTCATGAGATGAGAGGAGATAACAATGGCAAGGAGGCTAAGAAGAGTGTCTACTTGGATGAGAATGCAGGTAACCAGCTACAGATTTTCAGTTTTTTTTTTTTTTTACTAACATAATTATCCAAACACTCTAACCTATCTTTAGATGAAGTTATTATAGCATGGTATGGCATTAGAGCCAAGCAAAAATCTTATTTCAAGTTTCACTCCCACTTATTTAAAAATTTATAAAATGTCCAGATTTGATGAATAATATGATTATTATAACATGCTTGGGATGTCAAATATAACATTTAAATAAGTAAATGTGTACCATCTCTAATGACTTAAGCTTATAGATAACACATTGTGGAAGCTTCTCTTAAGTAAAAATGAAGTCTCGATAAATGTGTAGATATGTATTAGAATCAAGAAAACATAAGATATATCTGTTGAGCTCTGATATCAATTGTTGAGATTAAATCCTTAAAATATCATTTTATTGAGAGAAATTTATACACTTCGACACTTTCACTCACGAAGCCTGCTAGGTGCAGAGGGCTTGTGCTACTTGACGCCTCCTATAGGTGGGGCGCCGAGGGCTCATGTGGCGCAAGTAACCAAGATTAAGGGTGTGTTTGTCATCCATTATTTGTAAAGAATGTATTATGGAATAGTGATTGATGTTAAAATGTGTGGTTAAAAAAGAATGAAATTTTTTTTATTTACATATAATATTATTTTAATAAAAAATATTGTTTAAAATAAGTACAGTAAACAAAAGAATGAGAACAAATGGGAGATAATGAATGACAAATAGGGGCTAATTCTTCACCCACTCTTATTTGTCCTTTTGTCCTCATTTCATTTATGATACCATATATTTGTTTGACATGTCAAAGGCTGCAACATTGGTTTCAATGAAAGGAAATTTCAACCAAATGAATTATGAGTAGCTGGCGCATCGTCCTAAACACTGGTATATCTGGACGACTGGACCGGCAGAGAGAAAATTAACAATGGAAATTCTTTTTTTTGAAATTGGGAAAATGGAAAACGTGGGAATTTGTTTGCACGATATAATTTGTGGTACAGCAGGAAGTAATGGGGTTGTCAGAAATTAAAGGCACAAACGGTCGTATTTTTTAAATAATGCCAAACGGTTTGTGAGGATAAACGCACCAATGACCACACACTTGCATGAATGTGTGGGTTCCACGTGTCTCGTGTGGGTGTATGTGGTCATCCCAATGTCAAATAGAGCCCTTGTTTGATCCCATTTTTTGGAGAAAATGAATTTTTCAACAGTGTTTTGACATAATTTTAACTACATATTCTTCAATAAAATAATATTATATGTAAATTCAAAATCTTTTATTATTTTTTAACTACACATTTTACATCAATACACTATTTAAAAATTCATTTTTTCCATCAAAATGGGGCTCAAACAAGGGCAGAATGTTCGTGTAACATGGTTGCATATTTTTTATACCAATGTACAGTATAGGTTGCCCAAACAGTACTTTTACACACTGGGTTGACTTTGTTTCTGTCTCTCATTTCACACACCTCTCTTTCTTCACAAAATGCAAATTCTAAATACATAAAAAAAAATAAAAAAATGTTAAAACTTAATCTTGAGGGCCCCACCGTCCCGTCCCTCGAACAAAGGCTAAATACATACATATACTAAGCTATTGTTGGTGGAGGAGACTTCTGCAGAATTTTGGATAAATCCTTCAATGGCAGCGGAGTCTGGAAAATATAATGCGATGAATAGTGTTTTTTTTAAAAATGAGTGGTTAAAAAGTTTTTGATTTACGCGTAATATTATTTTATTGAAAATTGTGTGGTTAAAAATAGGTGAGAGAAAAATTTAAATTAATATAATGAGAAATAATGTGGCTCAAACGGGGATTGTAAGCAACATTCTAGGTTCTTCTTCTCTTAGGAGCCATTATGTTCAAATTCCAGAAGCTTCCAGATACTTATTTGAATGGCGGTGCTGGTTTCTTCAATATCCCATTCACTAGAGATTTTAGAGATAATACCTTAGATTAGAACTATGTTTTTGTCTGTTCAATTTGGCTTAACCAAAACTATTTGCTTAAGCTAATCCTTATGTTTTTATTTTCGTAACAAGTAAGTAACAATAAATTAAGGAAAGACTAACTTCACAAGCTTAAGAAACTCCGATTCATAAGAGTGAGATTTGGATAAAACGTGTAACACGATGGAATGGTAGACTATACTAACACTAACAAATTAATTTCACAATAATGGGATAGTACCATTCCATGCCATAGTTGTCTCCTTTATGTAGTTATCCCTGAGCTATTATTTCTACAAGAATATGATGCCTGATCGTCACGTGCTTAATCTAGATATATACTTACATATATATTCTTAAGCTACCTTATGACAATGTAGTATTCTGGGTTTTAACGGTTTGTAAAATTGGAAACAATTCTTCCTTGTGACTGAAGGAATATGGAAATGTCGACACTGCATTTGGACCTACCAAATTAGAAACACTTGGGTTGATCATATTCATCGAAGATCTTTCGATTTTGGAATTAGAGGTCAGTATGTAAATTCTGATAATAGATAAAGTAGTAGGATTAGTAATTATTTCTTAGTTTTAAATATTTTATCCAAATTTATTCTTACCAAAGTACTTGGATACAAATTTCACAAATTCATTTTGTGATTGAGAATCCTCGTCAAAACCAGGCACGTTTATTTAAACAAAATTTTAATATGATGTACCTGATGAGTGATGTCTTGTTTGCAGGTACTGCAATTGAACGGTCGCTTTCGGAGAAAAATTCCGGTATCGTGGATGTCGACGATGTTCCGAAGATTCTAAATTCCGTCATAAACAAGACACTTATTTTGGATGCTCCACTTTCGGGCTCATTACAGAAGGAAGGAATTATGAGTTCAGAGGGTTCAAGCAAAGGACCCGTAAAGATTGATTTAGTAGAAGAAAATGAAGAGGAAATCCTAGAGCTGGAATTCGAGAGGGCAGTTGGGAAAATGCATACACACAATATATACTGTCCTAATTGCAGTTCTGAGGTTACAAGAGTTATTCTTCGTAGGAAAAAACCTCAAATTAAAAATGAGAAACAAATGGGATTGTTAGGATGTTTATCGTGCTTCAGCATTTTCATTCCTTCAGGTACAAGATTTTCTCATTTCCCATGCAATTGCATCTACATATAAAAGATGATTTTATTTATTATTATTTTTACTAAAATGTTGGAACTGTGTTTTGTTAACTGAGTAGGGAATACCCTAAATCCTTTCCGATGTTTTGGAAGTAAAGAAGAACCGGAAGGCACAAGAGTTCCGTCAGGTGCTCCCGCGAATGATGAGGGTGAAACCATAGTGAAGAAAGGTACCTAAATTTACAGAAATTAATGTAATCTTTGTTGTATTATCCTATATATTCAATTGCAAAATTAATTAATTGCAGTTAGAGTACTGCAACATGTTAGGACAATGTGCATCTGGATTTTTAAGATGCAAAACACGTTTAAAATAGTGTTTTTGTTCCCTAGCATATTGAGGAGTGAAATATATTTTAACACTTCTAAGCTGCGCAGGAGGGGTTTTCGACCTGTTTTGGATTTTTGGGAAGCGAGGAGAAAACGAAAATGCACAGACTTATCATCAGCAAGCAGGAGAAAACGGTAATCCGTCCTCTCAACTGGGTGTTTACTCGTTCTTACTTTTATTTTCTCCCGTAGTAAAAATAAATAAATAAATAAGCATATTTTTTAAATGTCAATAAATTTTTAGTCTTATCAATTTTCTATATGTCCTAATATTACATGTAATCCACGATTTTTTTATGTCAATTGTTAAATTAGAAAATTGCTTAAAATATTTTCATATTCAACATGTTTTTTTGCAGATGATGATCACAGTGAACAATTGAAGGAAGATGATAACGAAGGCCTAACTAGCTCCAAGGCTCGTGCTCGTCCACCATATGTAACTTCATCACCTGCAAATGAAGCAAATAAAAATGAGGGATCCACATCTTATACGACCCATGGGCCCAATATACCTGAAAATCAACCTCAAGTTCCTCCACCTGGAGTATCTAACTCAGAGGGAGATCAGATAGATTTACTTATACAAAAACCAGGTAATCAGTAATATAGAACAACTGAAAATATAATGAGCCAAAGGCTCAAAATCTATTAACACACAATTCCAATCTTTGAATTTTATTAGAATGAGAAGAGTATTTCTAGGCTAGAACAACCCTCTAAACCATAGGTGTTTCCAAGATAAATATTTATTAAAACTCTTTTGACGAATATTTGAACTATAAGCAAAACATTTCTTTCATATTGACCTAGAAACAAGTTGACCTCTTTGGAACTCTCTTAGAAGATTAAAAGATGAAAACTTCTCCAATTCACCAGTAGAATAGGCAGCTGACCATTCTTGAGAAAAACAATTATTAACTTTCTATGATAATATTCAAATTGAGATCCGTAAAGTGCGTCGAATCCCTAACTTTATAAACTTTCCATTGGCATCTTATTTGAATAGAAAATGTATTTGCATCAATCCCAGAATTCAGTTGAAACTTGAAAGTGATAAGAACTTTGCATCTTGGAAATAGTTCGAGAAAAGTTGCCTTCACTTTTTTTTCAAGGTTAGTATTTGGTGACACTCCAGTCTCAACAACGTAGCACCAACTTATAGTACAAAAACTACTAAGGAGATGTTTGGTGCTTACTATTGAACTCCACTGAACAAGTGTTGTTTTCTCGTTTTTCATAGGTATAATCTACCTTATCAAATTTGATTTTGAAACCTCAACTCTTTAGCAATAGTTCCCTTTTTAAAATCTTATTATTAAATTTAATTATCGTATATTTTAATTTTGAAAAGATTTTACTGAAACTTGGAAGAAAATATCATTAGACACCATTCTCAAAACCGGATAGTGAAATAAAACAGGATCAAATTGTATACAAAATCTGAAAATTGTGAAGCTATTTACACTAGGAAATTAGCTTTCTTGATAATCATTCCATTTAATAGTTAACTATATGTATCGCAGGACCTGGTCCTACAACTGTAGTCCCTCCAGGATTCTTGGAAGATGGTTCGAAATCATTAGAAATTCTAAAGAGTATTGTTTATGGAGGTCTAGTGGAAACAATCGCAAGCTTAAGTATAGTGTCATCTGCAGCTGCTTCTGAAACTGCCACAGGTAAGTTTTTCAGTATAAATATTTACAACTTTAATCTGTAGAACAAGTAGATAGTGATCTTTCTAAAAAATAGAGATTTTATTTACACATTACTCTTGTTGCAGTGAACATTGTGGCTCTTGGATTGGCAAATGTGATTAGTGGAATATTTGTTATTGCTCATAATGTGAGTAATTATCTTTTCCATGGCAAATGTTTTAGTAAATTGATGGCGTTTTTGAAAGAATTGCCATTTCTAAGAGTGTGATTATGTAAAAATTCAATAGTTTGTGTGGTGGAATTGCTTGCACGCTCAGACATAAGAACTATAAAAGGCCGGTTAGAATTAGCATTCTAGATCTTTGACCTAAGTACTAATGGTCATGTTTCTTACTTTATGGCAACATTTTCCCATTGATATATTTTTATTTCCTTAATCGTCAAAATCCTGTGAAAATTTGCAGCTGAGGGACATGAAGAACGAGTGTCCAGTACCAGACTCAAATGAAAAAACAGATAGATACCAAGAACTGGTTGGCAAGAGAGAGAACTTCCTATTCCATTTCACTTTTGCCCTTTTATCATTCCTTCTATTTGGCCTAATCCCTCCTGCAGTTTACGGCTTGGCATTCGAGAAGACTGGCAATAAAGATTACACGATTATAGCAGTTGCAGCAGCTTCTCTTATATGCATAATTCTTCTTTCAATTGGAAAGGCTTATTGTAAAAGGGAACACAGATTTATTGCATACTTCAAAACAATTTTGTACTATATCAGCAATGCAGTTGCTGTTTCTGGTGTTGCCTATGCAATGGGAGATCTAATCAAGATACTTGTTGAGAAGCTTGGCTGGTTTGAGCCAAGCTCACCTACACCTACTACTTTGCTCAATTCCAGGATATATTCTACCACTCCATACTTGTCTTATTCTTGATGTCACGAGAGTCGAATTAGACTAAGAACTTTAGGCTGTTTTAGTTTGTTGTTGTGTGTTTAGGATCATATATTATGTTGTTTGTCAGTATTTCCCTTTCTTGAAGTTAACTCGGTTTTGTATTATGTGATGTATGAAATTATGTCGGCTGTATGAATAAATTTCAATGTTTTTTTCTTGCATTTTAAATGTTTACTTGGTACTATATGTTGACATAAATTATTTTTGAATATGTGAAGGACATCCATTTGATCTCTTAGACCTCTATTTGTATTGTGGAAATCACATACAACCAGAGTTTTAAACTTTTCAATTCAAAATTAAGATTTGCAATTTTTTTTTCAAGAATCAAATAATTATTAAAATTTTAAGATATTAATAATATTATTACAAAGTTTTTTTTTTTTAAATATTAATGACCACACATAGTGGTGCCATTGCTGCTGTCACCGCCTTGTTAAAGTTTTGTTTTTTTATTAAATCGTTTAGTTTGAGTATTTTTGTGGTTGTTGGTGTTTCATTTGGTGGTCATGGTAGTGCAAGCAATGCTGTCGCATTGGTGGTCAAGGAGTGGTGGTTTTTGGTGGTGGGGTTTTGTTTTGTTGAGATGGAGATGGCGATGTTGTTGCTGGTTGTCGTGAGGTAGTGGTGGTGGTGATTCTGGCAATGATGATATTGGAGATAGTGGTGAGGTTGTGGTGATCACAAATTATTTGATTGATTGTGATTAATAAATTGATTAATATATGATCAATAAACAGTATGTGACCAATAATATAGATAATTTGTAATCAATAAATAGTGTTGGACATAAAAAATTTGTTCATAACCAGTCATTTGATAATTTATGATCCTGAAATAAGTTGTGACTTTTAAAATTTGTTATTTGTTATCGATAAATAAATAGTGACCTATAATTTTTTTTTTAATTTGTGACAGATGAATAATTTGTGACTCATGAGATTTTTGATTTGTAATCAAGAAGTAATTTGTGACTAATTATTTTGATAATCTACGACCAAATTGTATAGAATTGTGACATTAATATATTTTAATTAATTATTTCATAAGTACAATTTAATTAATGATTTTTGAAGTTTTAAACATTGTTTCTTAATTCTGAAATTGATCATACTTAACCCCTTAAATGTGAATATTTCCCATTTATATTTTGGTCATGTAGACCAAAATAAATAACGTAAGACACCAAGATATAAAAATGACGAGTCGATTTATATACATGCACTCTAAAGGAGATCTCAATGTGGCTATAAAAATTGTAGTTATTATTCTGGAGTCCATAGAAAAGACCCATTGGTGTGCGGTGCTAAAGCCTAAGGATAGTTCAACATGTACATTATGGTGTTCATAAGGGTGTCCATAATGTACATGTGGAATTCCATGATTGGAGGGTTGAAAAAACTGTTTTTCAACTCTCCAATGATGTTATGCTATTTGAATTTCTACCTACTTGTAGAATCTTTGGAACAATTTATATCAATTAGAGGATGATGGCATTACCGTTTAATCTGGTGCAAAGCAGAAACTACCATTAACAGAGTTTATTGAGCTCCAGGTATACTTATCCATTTTAGGAATTAACCTATAAGAAAGAGGTACACTTACGCAAGAAAGACATTTTCCTATTGCTTAACTGAAGGTACCCATCCAATGTTTTAAATTATTGATTTTATGTTCATTACACTAAAGGTATCTAAGAAACAGAATAGAAAAACGGCTTCTTAAAACTATTGATTTTATCTTCATTAGACTGTTAGGGAAGCCACGGCATCACTCATCCCAGTGAGAGGCAGAGACCAAGATTTATCACCAGCTACAAGATTTTAGTACCGTAATTAGTCGAGCCTGTGTTACATATTAATCTCTCTATAAGTCTTCTATGCTATCCTAATTCAATAGCTAAAGTCATGAAGTGACATTTCAAATAGATAGTGTTTTTTTCTTTCTATCTAATTTTTCCCATCAAATTAAAGAAGTCGTGAACAAAGAAGTCACATTTTATCTCAAGTAAAGTGTTAGTCATGTTATATTGATTCAAAGCGAGCACTGTTAATTAATTTAAGGTAAAAGAAGACGACGGGCTATAGCAGTTTTTTCAAGTGCCCTCGAATAGGTCTTGGGAGAATGTTAAATTACAAGATTCTCTGAGAGAACCTTCACATGGATAATTTCTTCAACTGTAAAAGATCTCTAAGAAATTAATATATATATATATATATATATATAGTCATGCATGAACTATATGTTTTTACTCTTTTTAAATCTCAGCTGCCTACAATAATCGTGTGAAATATGCTTATTTGAATTATAAACATATATGATAATATGACATTGACTGAGTTCCGTATAACGTGAATATATTGATATAAATAATAGAACAATTTTTTTGGACCCTACACAAGCAATCAACTCATGTTATCATCCATGGTTAAAGGTGTTTAATCGCATTCTTAAATATCATAAATGCAATAAAAGTCATATACATCGACTTTATCAAATTGAAGATTGAATGTGTTCTTTAATTATTACATGGAATATAATCCTTCATCAATATATATATCATGGATTGTGACATGATATGACATGTAACTCTATTTTAATGTTATTACTAATCTATGTTTTCCCACGTTACGTGCCTTGTATAAAAGCCCACAACGTTGCATCAACTTCCTAATTATAAATTATAATATTATGTTTCTGGAATTTTCACACCACTAGAGAGAAATCGTGTTGGAGATTAATTAATCAGTAACTATGTATATTATACTAGTATTTAATAAAGAACCAAAAGAATCTACTAGAACACTATCACGTGTTTAATTAGATCAATTAGACAGGTAAAATTAAGTAAATTATAGAATTTACGAGAAGATAACCGTGAACTAAAATAATTTCGACAGGTAAAGTAATAAAAAAAACTGCTCATCAAGTGTGAACAATTTTACCAAGAAGAAAACTTTAAGTATACGACAGAATAATCTCGAACATTTTTTTTTTAATTTGTGACAGATGAATAATTTGTGACTCATGAGATTTTTGATTTGTAATCAAGAAGTAATTTGTGACTAATTATTTTGATAATCTACGACCAAATTGTATAGAATTGTGACATTAATATATTTTAATTAATTATTTCATAAGTACAATTTAATTAATGATTTTTGAAGTTTTAAACATTGTTTCTTAATTCTGAAATTGATCATACTTAACCCCTTAAATGTGAATATTTCCCATTTATATTTTGGTCATGTAGACCAAAATAAATAACGTAAGACACCAAGATATAAAAATGACGAGTCGATTTATATACATGCACTCTAAAGGAGATCTCAATGTGGCTATAAAATTGTAGTTATTATTCTGGAGTCCATAGAAAAGACCCATTGGTGTGCGGTGCTAAAGCCTAAGGATAGTTCAACATGTACATTATGGTGTTCATAAGGGTATCCATAATGTACATGTGGAATTCCATGATTGGAGGGTTGAAAAAACTGTTTTTCAACTCTCCAATGATGTTATGCTATTTGAATTTCTACCTACTTGTAGAATCTTTGGAACAATTTATATCAATTAGAGGATGATGGCATTACCGTTTAATCTGGTGCAAAGCAGAAACTACCATTAACAGAGTTTATTGAGCTCCAGGTATACTTATCCATTTTAGGAATTAACCTATAAGAAAGAGGTACACTTACGCAAGAAAGACATTTTCCTATTGCTTAACTGAAGGTACCCATCCAATGTTTTAAATTATTGATTTTATGTTCATTACACTAAAGGTATCTAAGAAACAGAATAGAAAAACGGCTTCTTAAAACTATTGATTTTATCTTCATTAGACTGTTAGGGAAGCCACGGCATCACTCATCCCAGTGAGAGGCAGAGACCAAGATTTATCACCAGCTACAAGATTTTAGTACCGTAATTAGTCGAGCCTGTGTTACATATTAATCTCTCTATAAGTCTTCTATGCTATCCTAATTCAATAGCTAAAGTCATGAAGTGACATTTCAAATAGATAGTGTTTTTTTCTTTCTATCTAATTTTTCCCATCAAATTAAAGAAGTCGTGAACAAAGAAGTCACATTTTATCTCAAGTAAAGTGTTAGTCATGTTATATTGATTCAAAGCGAGCACTGTTAATTAATTTAAGGTAAAAGAAGACGACGGGCTATAGCAGTTTTTTCAAGTGCCCTCGAATAGGTCTTGGGAGAATGTTAAATTACAAGATTCTCTGAGAGAACCTTCACATGGATAATTTCTTCAACTGTAAAAGATCTCTAAGAAATTAATATATATATATAGTCATGTATGAACCATATGTTTTTACTCTTTTTAAATCTCAGCTGCCTACAATAATCGTGTGAAATATGCTTATTTGAATTATAAACATATATGATAATATGACGTTGAGTGAGTTCCGTATAACATGAATATATTGATATAAATAATAGAACAAATTTTTTTGGACCCTACACAAGCAATCAACTCATGTTATCATCCATGGTTAAAGGTGTTTAATCGCATTCTTAAATATCATAAATGCAATAAAAGTCATATACATCGACTTTATCAAATTGAAGATTGAATGCGTTCTTTAATTATTACATGGAATATAACCCTTCATCAATATATATATCATGGATTGTGACATGATATGACATGTAACTTTATTTTAATGTTATTACTAATCTATGTTTTCCCACGTTACGTGCCTTGTATGAAAGCCCACAACGTTGCATCAACTTCCTAATTATAAATTATAATATTATGTTTCTGGAATTTTCACACCACTAGAGAGAAATCGTGTTGGAGATTAATTAATCAGTAACTATGTATATTATACTAGTATTTAATAAAGAACCAAAAGAATCTACTAGAACACTATCACGTGTTTAATTAGATCAATTAGACAGGTAAAATTAAGTAAATTATAGAATTTACGAGAAGATAACCGTGAACTAAAATAATTTCGACAGGTAAAGTAATAAAAAAAACTGCTCATCAAGTGTGAACAATTTTACCAAGAAGAAAACTTTAAGTATACGACAGAATAATCTCGAACATAATTAAATCTAGATTTTACATTGTTTGTTAAATGTGAATAATTGACCTTTGGTTAATCATTTTACACTAGGTGTCGAACACTAATTGTATGGCTACCAATT